AAAAAAAAAAAAAAAAAATGCTAAGCTGTCTTCAATTCACATTAGCAAAAGAGAACAGAAAACGACAAGCACGAACCAAAAAACTATTTTCTGAAACTAGTCTAAAATAGCTGGAGCAATATGGGAATCTGAACATTTTTAAAGATTGTGTAATATAACATGGGTCAGGTTAACTGAAAATAAAATTGAGAGGACATAAATAGTTTTTGCTGAAAGTTCTCCCAACAAATGTGCATGGAGATGGAATACAGCTTGTCAGCAATTTATCTCTGATACTAGTTAGGAGAGCAAAGCTTTGATATCTGTCTACGTTTTCAGAGGGATCATGCAACAGAGGTTAAAAAAAATAGAAAGAAAAGGAAGGAAGGGCAGGAGGAAGAAAGGGAGAGAAAGGAAGGAAAAAAGAGCCGATAATTATAATGCAATAGAGTAGTCAGCTGCCAGGCACCAACATCCTACCATCATAATAAATGATTACATGGATATAGCTCTCCATGGTAAATAGTCTCTGTTTTTCTTTTCTTTTTTTTTTCTGCCTTCTTACATTCTTTCTAGAAAGAGATGGCACCATCTGAAAGAAAATCACTTATACTCGAGGAAAGTGAAAAAATCTACTCTTCCAGGCTCTATGCCTGTGAGAGGGCTTCGCAGGAGATGTTTTGAAGAGATTACAAGGGCTCCTGCAGCACAAATAAATGTGGCTTCTTCATCTATGTACTTTACCTTCATCCCTTTCTTGAACTGGTTTATGGGTGTGGATGAGAAGAGAACTAATTATACAACAGCTTTGATTCTCCTACTCTTTATCTTTACTCAAGTGCCAGCAACGCACCTATGAATATGAGAAGAGAAAAAATGCAAAAGGTCAAAGAACAAATCCCTTTATACGTACATTTCTAACATGTCTATTCAGGGAAGCACACTCTATCTACTTCCTTGTTCTCTGTGAACTAGTGATATAAAATTACATGTAATAATATATCATTTTCAACCATTAAACCAGGGGAAATACATTTTATGATAACAATGCTAATGTCAGTATGGAGAAACTAATATGCACATGTTGCTGGTGGCATAGTAAAGTAATCTGGTGGATTTCAGTTCAATATGGGGAATTGAGCTGATAAGGAAAATCTCTCCACCAGTTACACACACATAAAAGTATTAAACACAACATTTTTACTATCTAATTAAGCTTGAAACAAAGAGAAGGAAATCTACAGGATTAAAAAATAATAAATAAAAAAATAAATAAAAAGGTAGCCCCTGGGAAAGGACCAGATAGATACAAGCTGGGGCTGAGGGCGATCAAAGGAAGAGAAATGATACAGTCACAAGGAAAGCTTGACTTGACCTAAATGCACAAAGCCACGGAGCGCTGCTATATTTGCAGGACTAATCAGCACTCTGTCAAGGGCACAAAGCTTTTCATCAGCTTGACTAAGGGTAGAGAAAGAACAACTCCAAGAAGCTGGAAACCAAGACCTGGACTGTGCTGATGACTGGGATATTCAGACTCACAGTATATGTGTGATTCATGGACCCTGAGCAGAAAAGAGGTAGGATGGCAAGTCCAGGATTAGTTAGTGCTTAACTTCCTTCCAAGTACAGAAGTCCCACTTTATCTATGGTTTTGCTTTCCATGATTTCACTTACGTGTGTTCAATTATGGTCCCAAAATAGGTGAGTACTACTGTAAGATATTTTGAGAGAGACCACATTCACATAA